TCTCTCTCTCTCTCTCTCTCTCTCTCTCTCTCCCTCTCTCTCTGTGTGTTTGCCGTATAGAATCAATGACTGGCCACACTCACGCCCAACACTGCGCCGAAGTTCCAATAACGGTGGTACGGTTGCAGGTGGTGGCATGAATCGACTTCTCCCGCGACGTTCAATAAAGAGAGCCTTTACTTCCAGGGAATGCCTTGTTGTGGCGTATTGCCGTGTGGCTGCGACCAACGAAACAGTTATGGTGTTGGTCGAGATGAATCACACCGCCAGTCGCAGTATTGGGCTGCCACACGCTCTTGCCAGTCAATTAATTCCATGCCACACGCACACGCGGTCTTGGATGAAAGCGACGCGCTGCAAAGCTCGTTGTTAGTAAACCATAATCGACTTCGAAAGTCTCGAGGGAAGGGATTGCTGTACCCTTCTCGCGATAAGAATACCTCAGGCAGGAACCGCAGGAGGGGGTCCAGCCCCCCTCTCCTATGTGACCCCGGTCGGGTCGTCTAGCTAGTAGAAGTGGAGGGTAGGGGCCAGAGAGGCAGACGCAGAGTCCAATGATGGGAGAAAAAATAAACCCAAAAAGGGTAGCCTACCCCATCAGATCATGCGAGAGTACCCCTCACTCGACAACCGGTCCCCATCCTTGGATGCGGTTGTCGAGTGAGGGGTACTCTCGCATGATCTGATGGGGCAGGCTCCTTGTATCCCACAAAGTAAGGGATGGTAATTGGCTTGCTTGCACGGGCTGCCTGAAATGTCCATCCTCACACCATGGGTACACGGACACAGCAGTACCGAGTGGGGGGTCCGATTTAGCGACACCTTCAATGGTGTCACAACGAAATGTGGCCGCTGTTCAGGGCAGGTCGCTCAACCGACCTGACAATAAATTTGAAGTAATGTAGTATGCATGCGTAGCAGTCAAAAGCATTTGCACTACCAGGGTGCGGCGGTGCGACGTGGTTTTGTGGTTGCTAAACAGGGCATGTCGCTAAACGCTGAACAAGAGGTCGCTAAATGCCCCCTACGGCAGTTGGTATGTTGTAAAATGCTTCAGAAGTCGTTTCCTTGAGGGGCATCCTGACGGTAGACCCAGCACAGGCCAATCCTGCTCTCGCTTTTTTTTTCTTTCTGTGTCGGCAAACGTCTGCTTCTGAATAGAGTCATATGGTCGTTGGTACTGCCCCCTTTCGGCCGTCATGCCCTCAATCACGCTCGATGTTTTCCGCCATTTTCGCTCTTTTCTACTACTTTTCGGGGGATTTGTTGGTGTTGTTGTTGTTGTTGTTGTCTTCACATTAAAAGACGTTCCGAGCTCTCTCTACCCAGTACCTTCGGTTGTCCGCACTGATCCAACACTCGACGCGGTCGATTCTCGTGGTCGCAGGCAAACTTAGACCACTG